GGGATCTGTTACCTTCAATTGAACAGGAAATATGAAAAATCAAATACAACAATACACTAGGTGTAGTAGCAGATGCAAATAAATGCTTCTTTAAATGATTTTCAAGAGAAAGACCATGCCAAAAGACACACCACCCAGTGAGGCCAGGAGTACACAGAGAGGCACAAATTCAATTCATTTTGAAAGAACTGAAACAAGTTTTAAAAGAATTAAACAACTTCAAATTAGTTTGAACGTGTTGCTTAATCATCAGTGACAACATGAGGCCACAACATAAAGCAATCCCAAGTCTGGATGGTTATAGAGGGAAGCTGAAAAGATTAATACATTTACCAGAAATTAAGTTATTCCTGGAAATATGACTGCAAACTACAGATGTTATCATTTTCTTCTTCTAATTTGTTTGAGTGCAAAGTAGACATGATCTCTTACTTTTGGAGCAATCATTGCAATGTGGCAGAATGACAGAATAATAAAATAAATACAATGTTATTTACAAATTATAAATGCTACAAACAAATGGAAGAACAGAAGACATACCTTAACTGTGGTGGTCAGGATAGAGTCCTGTGGGGAAGTAACATTTCATTCAGCTTGTTTTCAAAACAGCTGCTGAGTCTTTCAAAACCTACCTCAGATATCTCCCCTCTGCAGAAAAGTTTCCTCTCCATTTCACTGACAAAAAGCCAGACACCTTTAATGGTCTACAGAGTCCTTCAGGATTCACTCTCCCAGTACTTTCCTTACTATTCTGTCAAAAGTACCTATTATTCTCTAAGGATTGGATAACGGACTGTCTATCTCTTCTTGCTAGAACTTAAGTCCACTAGGGAAGGATCTTTGTTTTATTCACTTTTGTGTTCCAAATGTCTAGAACAGGCCCTGGCTTATAAAAGATGTTTATTAAAGTTTTAGTCAGTGAATGTAAACATGAAATCACTTCACGATCTTGTTAATATTTAAATATAATAAAAAACTTTAAAAGACAAAGTGATCACATATGTTGTTACATTAACCTTAAATACAACAAAGAAAAATATCACAAAATAATATAAAATCAAAAAGGAGGTAAGTGAGAGGCACAGGGGGAGAGTTACTGGGCTGGGCGGGGAGGGGAGGAGACTGGGTTAGGGCTGGGCATGGTAAATAAAAATTCTAAAAGGAAACAAGAAAGGACAAAAAAATAAAGTAAAAAATTTTTTAAAAATTCAAAAAAAAATTAAAAACAGCAGGTAAGATTTTATTTATTTCTGTGATGAGTGTGCTCGCCTGTTCATAAGTTCATTCCAGTCTGGAACACAGGAGGACAATGCTACCCGCATATCTGCTGCATCACTCAATCCATTTCTTTCCTTCATTTTTAACTGGGTCAAGATCGAAAACCCTAGTTCACACAAATTAGTTGTTGTGAATGGTAACAAGAGCTGGATACTCTTTCTACTCAACAATGGAAAGTCTTCTTTTGTCTTAATCCAAAATGCCGATAAACTTAATGTCTCGTGATCATTTTTCAATGTATATGAAGAACTGAGCTGCAATAATTCATTCTCTTCTTCAGGCACCAAATTTAACTCAATTATTGATTCAGGGTTTTGAAAAGCAAATGGATCTTTTACCCAACAGTTTTCCCTTAATATTTCAACTTTCTCTTCTGGAAAGAAATAGTTAAAAGTTAGAGACAGAGAAGTCAGATGCGACAGTATCTCTAATTGTATTTCTTTTAAAATGTTTTCATTAATGATATTCTCTTCAATATGTTGCAAAAATTTTGGAAACATGTAGTACACAGGACGATCACTTTTAAGTCTTGCTTGCCATAACAACAATGTCTTGCAGAATCCTTGGATACGTTCCACATGCTGAAATATGTCACTGGTTTTCCCTTGTAGTTTTAAACTCAGCTCATTAAGAATGGCAAAAATATCAGTTAAATACGCCAATTTTGTTACCCAAATATCATCTCCGAAGATATGTGCCAAATGAGATTTTTTTTCAATGAGAAACTGGTGAATCTCATTCCTGAGTTCATAAACCCTGCTTAGTATTTTCCCTTGAGACAACCAACGAACTTTAGTATGATACAGTAAGTGGGTATGATTAGTTCCCATCTCTGAACAAAATGTTTCAAGAAGTCGGCTATTCAGTGAGCTGCTTTTAATAAAATTAACAACTTTCACTGCATTGTTCAATACTCCCATGAGACTCTGTGGAATTTCTCTGGATACCAAGGCTTCCCGATGTATAAAACAATGATTCCACACAGCGCTATTGTTGGTAACTTCCAGCAATTTCTTGATTACTTGGCTATGTCTTCCAGTTATGGAAGCCGTTCCATCACTTGTGATTCCTTTACAGTTTTTCCAGTTTAACTTATATTGACCAACAATGCACTTTTCTAATTCTGTGAAAACATCTAATCCGCTGAGCTGCGAAGTTACATTTAAGCAACACAAAAAATCCTCCGTAAGATCATCTTGCCACGCATATCTGACGTAAACTAACAGTGCTGTGCGGCTTTCAATATCCGTGCTCTCGTCCAGCTGGAGTGCAAAATCTATCCCAGACTGTAAGCGAGTGATGAGCACTGTCTCTAAGTGGTCTGCAATGGTACAAATTCGAAGGGAGATTGTGTGGTCACCAGGTATAGTTTTTAGTTTATCGGCTGATTTATCATCAAAAATTGTCCGCACCATATCCAGACATGCGGGAAGGATAATTTTTTCAGCAGCTGTGTGAGCCATCTTCTCTTTTGCCACACGATATGCAACTAAATACGATGATAATAAAGCTTTCTCACTAAAAGTGGTAGAACAACTAAGAAATTGTGCTGATAACTTTATGTCCTTTTTCTTTCTCTGAAAATACTCCAGAGGCTTATCAGTAAGTTCAGCATGCTGAGTTTCTAAGTGTCTTTTTAATTTTGAAGGTTTTAAGCTTTCATTTGCAAGAATATTATTACAAATAACACACTGGGGTCTGTCATTTTCAAACAGTTTTTCACATTTGATAAAACCATATTTTAAATAATCATCATTATAACGTCTTGAACTTACTTTTTTCTTCTTGAAATGCGGTTCTGACAAGGCTGAAGTTTGCTGGTTAGAGTCAGTACTTTTCTCAATACTGTCACCTGTCACACTTTCAGATCCAACAGCTGAACTTGAACATGGTTCTGTGTATTTCACTTCATTATTCCTCTTTCTTTTAATAAAGAAATTATCCATTTTAAAAGTAATTTGTTTCAAATCAATTAAAATGTTACAACTGATACTGAAAAACATATATCCTACATAACATCCTTTCCAAAAAAATGACAAGTTTTCAACTGAATTTCAGTTGAAAATCTCAACACTTGACATTTAGCTGTAATCATGGTAATAAAAAATTAGATTCCATAGTAACCTTGCTGTTGAAGATCAAACAGGACACTAGTGAGCAAATGACTGATAACCATTTCCGAGCCAATATGCATATATTCATCATATCCCCTCCACCAGGTAGGTACCTTCTTCACCCACTGAACTGGCTTCAGTGTTCCTTGCAATGTGCACAATTCTGGCAAAGGATCCATGTAAGGCACTCTGATGTTTCGTATTTTGTTTTGTTTTAAAAAAAAACGGTCATCATGGGTCACCAAATTGATTTCATGACCCACTAATGGGTCACACGCATAATGTGAGAAACTGACAAAGACACATTTTCTGCTCTCCGCTTTGTTGGCAGCTTGGGTATACCTGCTTGATGATCAAAGAAACTAGCTCATCTGCTAGACTGTCAACTGGTCCAAGAACTTTCTTGAAGTGGTAATTACATATCCTGGAATGTTCATTCCCAAAACTTTATGAGGGAAAGAGTTTGTAAGAGTACGAGTCATGACCTGACCTAGTGAGGACCCAGTGAAGTTTTCCATGGGTAGGTCAACTGTCAGGCAGGAGCTGATAATATTTTTTAAGGGACTTGCTTGGGATACATCCTTGACCTGGAACAAGACCAGAGACATGGCATTAGAGCATCACAATACAGAGCAATATTACTGTCAAGTACAGGACCCTTTAGGCTATCCGAGATCATGGATGCTGAAGCAAAAAGCAACAGCTCTTCTCATCACTATTTTATATGAGCACAGGACTGTTTCTGTAAGGCAAATACCTCAAATAAGATCAGCAAATAGAAAAATGATGTCAGTAAAACACAGAAGTCATTATCAGAACTTGAAGTACAAAACCAAACAAAGCAGGCCATGGAGGAGTGAAGCCCATTGACCACATATACTCGTTCTTAGCTTGACTTGGCCATGAGACCAGTTCCTGGAGAAGAACATCATGTTTGGTAAAGTGGATGGTGAATGAAAAAGAGGAAAACCTTCAACAAGCTGAAATGACACTATGACTGCAACAATGGCTCAAGCATGGCAATGACTGTGAGGGGGGTGTAGGACCAGCTTCCTCTGGATTTAAAGGTCACTGTGAGTCAGAAGCGACTCAATGGCACCTACCAGCAGCATCTTGAGAGTGTTTGTTGCACTGCTCTATTTGATCTTAGTGTAGTTAGGCTTTATCACTGTAAGACAGCAGTTTCAATTCTTCCTCACAGGCCCTTTCAACAAGCTCACTTTTTGGAGGGAAGTGGGGAGGAGTGGGAGAGAGAGGTAAAGTCCTATGGGTATTCCAGTGTTGAATGGGCATTCAACATGTTTCAACTGTGCCAATACTTCTATTAGGATTCCTAGTTTGTGTTACTGCCCTGATTATAAAGTTGTACGATTCCCATAAATCCTGTTATTTTTTCAGTAGAAATTTTTGTAGAACATGAGTTCTTTTAGGAAGTCACATTAAGTTAAATGTCCATATCTTAAAATTACTTTGAATATTTGCATGGTGAATGGGTCTCCAGTCACCTGATACTGGTATTCTCAGTTTAAAATGAGCAATTTTAGAGTTTTTAGCTACAGTCATTGAAACTTTTTTTTGCATGGCTAGGCCTCTACCTACCTAGAAAATATACAGTTACTATGCATTTTAGAAGTTAGATTACATCCATCCTAATGCTTAAAAGGGCCCTGAAAGGCACTGGTATTACGTTTTCCCTACATTTGGGAATGAGTAGATAGGACTTACGAGCCTAGGCTACTTTGTGAAAATCTGGGACATACGAAGTGATTTTCATTCTAGCTATTAGTCATCCTTTACCTGGGAGTGAAAGGTAGTACCCAAGCAGGGAACAAGCTTCATAAACGTGCTACAAATATGTGAATGCCATGAATGTTCACGTATTTATTTCAGAGCCTAATCTTTTTAATAATAAAGCCAGCTTTACAAGAAGTTTATAGGGAATAATGACATTGAAACAAACAAACAAAAAAGCTGTTGCTAGAAAGGTGAAGCCTTGGTGATACTCTTCTGTGATACATCATTAATTACATCTACATTAACTGTTAACAATAAGCTTGAAGAGGGATTGTATGGCATCTAGTAAAGCATTTATGAATAGTCTCTTTTTTTAATGAGGATGCCAGCAAAGGTTGTGTATCATGCTGAAACATGCTGAAATTATGAGCAACAATTATGTTTTATGTACAAAGTACAGATGTCTCATTTCTTTTGTAATTGTGACAATTCTTGCTAAAGACATCAAATAAAGCCAAAGGGACTGCTCTAGGATCTCACAAGTTTTGATGGTGCATCCCACTAAGTTACCCTGTTGGTATCTGGGACATGAACTGTCAGAAAACAGAGCCGTGTCTGAATAAGTAAGGCAGAGACCTGCAGGTTTGCACTCACCAACTCTTTGAAAAGCGCATGGTCCCTTCCTTCTTCTGATTCTGTCTTAGTCTAGAAGCTCCGCTGAAATCGGAGCTTCCAGACCAAGACCCTGCTGGTATCTGAAATACCGGTGGCATAGGCCCCAGGCTCACAGTAACAAACAAGCCACCAAAGTATGAAAAGCTGACATCATGCTTGGTAAAGTGGAGGGTCAGCGAAAAAGGGAAAGGTCCTCAACAGCAGGCTCAGGAATAGCAAGGATTGTGAGGCTGGCGCAGGACCGAGCAGTGTTTTGTTCTGTTGTCCACAGGGTCACTGTGACTTGGAGCCAACGAACGGCACCTACCAACAACAACAAGACCTGCAGGCAGAGGAAGAAGCACCGGTGGCCGGTGAGATGGGTCATGGAGTTTAGGACAAGACAGTGAGAGTGATGTGGAGAGCTGCCCAGAGAAGATGCTATTTGGACAGTTTAGCGGAAAAATGTTGAGTCTTGAACTTCAGAAGGGGTGACAGTTTTAGAGACCAAAGCTTTAAAGGGCCCTGTAGCATGATGTTGTTTGGATGCAGCTTCTTGAGGAGGGCAATGGGAAGGTAGCAGCAGGAGCCTAAGAGCTCTTGCTGTTGCTGGTCTAGGACTAAGGTGCCAGTTTGCAATAGGGCAAAATTTACCACCTTGTCTCTAAAATGATAGCGGCACAGTCCTTAAGAGCTTGGCTGCTAACCCAAAGATCAGTGGTTTGAACCTACCAGCTGCTCCATGGGAGAAAGATGTGGCAGTCTGCTCCCATAAAGATTACAGTCTTGGAAAGTCTATGGGACTGTTCTACTCTGTCCTATAGGGTCACCATGAGTTGGAACTGATTTAATGGCAATGGGTCTAGTTTTTGGTTCTTTTTGTTCTGCATAGTCATCTCTTTAGTCATATAAAGGGTTGATGTCATGAGGAAGACCTACAACTAGGGGTTGAGGCCAGAAGTCTGTTTGGTGGCAGTTTTAGATGTTAGTTCCCTTAGGAGGGAATGGGAGATACTTACTTGGTTAGTGATTAAGGAGCTTTAATTATGGATAAGTAGCTAGAGCTTTACCTGGTATACGGAAACTGCTCAAACTTTTAAAAGGTATGCATCTAGGAGAGAATCCGTAGGCAGGGGCATGATGAAATGCCTTAGTTAAATGTTTCCTTGAAAGTCAGGTTGTTGTAAAGATTAAACAGTATAATGCTTAGGGGAGATCTTGGATTATACTCATTCATTCATTCATTCAACAAATATCGAGTGTCTACTATATGCTGGGCACAACTCTAGGCACTAGGGATACAGCAGTAAACAAAACAAAATCCATTTGGCTTTTACCCTGAGTGAAATGAGAAGCCCTGAAGGGTTATAATCAGAGTAGTGACATCATCTGGCTAACATTTTAAACGCAACAGGAGCACTGGTGGCACAGTGCCTATGGCATTTCACTGCTAACCCGAAGGCTGGCGGTTCAAACCTGCCAGCCACTCCTCAGAAGGAAGGTTGGGCAATCTGCTTCTGTAGTGATACTGCCTCAGAAACCCAAGGCGTAGCTATGAGTCGGATCTGACTCAGACTACATGGGGGTAACAAAGGGAACAGGAAAACCAGACAACTGGCAAAAGCAGTAATCCAGGTAAGACATAACAGTGTTTTTAATCAGACTGTACAACTGCAAATAGTAAAATTCGTATGATTCTAAATGGCACAGTATCTAAGGCACTTGACTGCTAACCAGAAGGCTGGCGGCTCAAACCCACCAGCCACTCTTTGGAAGGAAGACTGGGCAACCTACTTCTGTACAGATACCACCTCAGAAACCCACAGAGGGGTCGCTGTGAGTTAAACTGACTTGATGGCCAGTTTTTTGGTTTTTTTTAATGCACCCATACAGAGAGGTGAGGAAGGTAGCCAGACATATGGTTCTGAAGTTCAGAATATAGGTCAAGGCTAAAAATATAAATTTGGAAGTTATCATCATACAGGCAGTATTTAAAGCCATAGCCTGTCTGATCTCACTGAAAAAGTTAGGTTAGAGAAAGATCTGTAGACTGACTGACTCCTGTGACATTCTAACATTTGGAGATGGGGGAGATGAAGTGAAATTGGCAAACGAGACTGAAAAGTAGCAGACAGTGAAGTAGAAGAATCAAGGTGGTAATGTGGAAACTAGGTTTCAGAGGTGGGATAGGAATTCAAGTCTCTAAGGAGTGCACAGGAGAAGAGAAAGCTGAAAAATGGGGCAGCAACTGGAGGTAGACATAGACTGATGAAAAGTTTTCATAAAATAGAAACTTGCATAGTGTGTTTACACAGTGACAGAAATGATTGAGCAGGAAAGGAAATTAATGATGCAAGTCAAAGGGCAAAGACTAGAGCCATATCCTTGAGAAGAAGAGAGATTCACAGATTTTGACAATGCATCTATAGTAATAGTAAAACCAG